ATTAAGTTATACATCTACGAAATATATGAATGTCCTAAAAATATATAAGATTAACACAAACAAACTCGTAAAAAATTGCTAAACTTATCTAGGCTAAGTTCTCGACTTGGCAGCCTTACAAAAATATCTTTTATTTTCAGAGGACTCTAAACAATGGGTGAGCGGTTTGTTACATATACGGTATGATACATATCTTAGAGATGTAGGAGCACAGTTACAAAGTACCAAGCTCGCATAACACTCGAGTTCTCATCACGAGCGAGATTGCAAGTGCCTCTTGAAGCGAGCCTGTCACTCAGCAAGATGTCTTTTCTTTCTTACACAAAGTAAAAGTACGAAAATTTTGCCCTACTGGTCCAGACCTCTGTATTCCTTGTGCATACTTTCAATTACTCGTAATAATGATCAAATGCAATTTTTCTTATTCAGAATCATTTACTGAATCGATTGTTATCATTTTTAATATAGGTAATTTTTTATCCCAAAAATAATTAAAACTACGTAAATTACAGTCACACTAAATCTGTACAGTCAAAACAAACTGAAATGGACCGTAACTTAAGGCAATAAGACTTTTAAGAGTGCAGTTTTATTTGTATTATTACTAATTCTGTCATTCAATAAAAATAAAGAAAAATGAACTTTATTTCAAGCATATTAAAGTCTTACGTTCGTGGATTTGTACTATGACCACAACATTCTTCCGGAATTAGTATAACTAATTTGATAAATAATCAGTGCATGAAAATGTTTAACTAAAATTCAGTGTATGTATTATGATTATAACATAAAATACTAATTGGGGTGTTTGAGGGTGTGCGTTAATTACGTTACATATTGTATATATATATATATTTTTTTTCTTATAAAAAGGATCGATCAGTCATGAAATTAAATTATTTTTCTATCGTTACAGTTCAAAAATTACTTGTAATATTTGTAATATTTTTTGAAAATTCTATTCACTAACGTAAAAAAGTATACCAATATATATATATATATATATATATATATATATATATATATATATAGTAAAATCACGCTGCAGATATATTATGGTTGTAGCACGAATGGGTCGGCCCGACCGGAGAAGGACCACGATCTCATAGAATACCAGTGTGAAAAAGTAGCTTGAAAAAAGTATGTTGAGTGTAGAGATCCGGAAATCCTTTTTTTCTGCAAACGAAGCATTCCATCTTAGTCCTCATGGGTGACAACGCAACTGCATTTTGATTTTTAATCGAGGATAAATGTAAATGTCTATGGGCCGCAGCATCCACTTACCATCAGGTGGACTGTGTACTCGTTTGTCACCCTCATTCTATAAAAAATGTATGTATGTGTTTAGACATGTATATGTTACTGTTAGCTAAACATAGCTCCATCTTTTTGGAGTCATACACTTTAAACCCTTTCTTTGTTATCATTTTAATATGTTTGTAGAAAGTTTCAAGTCATCTACTGCGAATTTTTTTAGCAACGCGAAAGTGGAAAGGTTTAAACCAATAAAGCTAAAGCCGTTTTAATCTGGCTCTGGTTGGTCGCAACTACATTATCCGAGGGCAGCGGATTCGATGCCATTAGACTTAGGAAAGAACTTGCCGGCTCGGTTGAGGTGACGGAGATTATTTCGGATTTTCTCTCGTTTCACATTGAATGCGAACGTGTATCTTGGTTTTTATATCTCTTTTAATCATACTATGTCTATGATAGATTGCTGCAAGGTTAAGTCTGAAGATAATCCTCTATATCAGGTGTCGCTATAATATGGATTGTGTGCTTTTCTTTAATGTATAAAGAAAAACACAATTGTATTTTAACAACTAACAATTTTGACGACTCGTGAAGGCAATTCAAATCCTGTTTGGAACAAGTATAAGTGTAAGTAAAGTAAAAAGTAAAAGTGTAACAAGTGTGTGTAAGCTTGGGCGCGCGCGCGTGTTAATTGTCTATGTATACATCACCACGACATAGGAAAAAATACTAATATAACTTTAAAAAAATATTACATAAATACGTAAATATAGCTTAGGGGTTTTAATGTTTAAATATTAAAAAAGAAAGGTAGATTGTATTAAAAGCATTAATATAACAAAGTACTCCTATTTTCTTTGATTTAGCTAGATCTACCTTACGAACCCGTATAAAACATTAATTTATAAAGTATTGTTCTTAAATTATTTCGTGTAGTGATATAAATAAATATTACTAATTATATTATTAAGTGAAATTAATAAATTAATACCGTACATTGTGCCGTGGTAGCTCAGTGGTTAACGCTCGCTGTAAATATAACAGAACGAGAGTAACCCGGGTTCGATCCCCGCCGGCACCAATGAAATTGTTAATTGCAATTTTAAGTGCTAATTTATCACGTGCTCGGTGGTGAAAAAAAATATCGTGAGGATACCAGCATCTCTGAGAAATAAGAAAAAAAAATATTTCGAAGACATGTGAAGTTCGTCAACACGCATTTGGGCAGCGCGACGGACACTTCCTTGCCCTAAACTCTCTCAGAAATGAGGGGAGGCCTGAGCCCAGCAGTGGGACGTATGTAGGCTGTAACTTTACTTTACTTTTAATAAATTAATACATATCTTTATTTGCATTAAAAAAAAGAAAATGACTGAAATGGATGTAAATACATCAAGTGAAAGGAAAATTAAACGTAAACATCTCAATGGCGCCGCCGACGCTCATCACGGACGCTCGCTTATCTCTTGAATGAACGAATGACAGAGTGAATGATAATGAGAGGCAAGAATGAGACAAGAAATGAAAGGCATGAGCGGTAAGAATAATATTGTGATGCCGCGCCGGGCCTTTACGTGACATTCCACTGAAAAGTATTATGTTCTATTGCGATAGTAACTTTAAAGAAATACTTATGTTTTATTAAGTCAAGTTAAATAAATATAAACATATATTACGTGGTTATATAAATTACTTAACATAAAGGTACTTTTTTGTGAATACAAAATTTTTCAAACTCCATATGGAACATGTGCTTGAATTTATTATTAAGGAAATAATGCAATATAATATGGCTAATTGACTTAGGCTACATGTCAATAAGTTACAGCATAAATGCGAATGAGACTGACTCGTTGGTCTAGTGGTTGTAGTGGTGCGACTGCTGATCATGAGGTCGCGTGTTTCGAATACCGAATCGGGCCAAAAAATTAAATTATTGATTTTTTCCGTCAAGAAATTCTCAGTAGTTGCCCGGAGTCTGGAAGTTGGCGGTGTCTCACCCCTGTGCCTTGGAAAGCACATAAAGCCGTTGATCCTGCGCCTGGTCTCTCTCCGGCCGTGTCGGTTTACCGTCCCATCGGATTATGAGAGTGAGGGAATAGAGAGTGCCAGGTGCTTGCGCATACACTTGGGCACTATAATCCTGTCCTGCGCCGATGGCTAGACTCCGTTGAGGCAGGCCGCCGTGACCGAAATTCGGTCTGGAGGACATTACGTTCCACGGATGGCAACAGGCCTCCTCTCTTATACATAGATATTATCTTTGGGCTTTCACTAAAACGCTTTCACGGGTAAGAACAAACCGTCGCACTGCCATTGGAACCTGTTTGCTGACAATATTTATTGATTTCAAATGTTTATTTAATTTCTCAAACGCACGCGTTTCCTCGCGATGTTTTCCTTCACCGCAAAACCAAATAAACAAATAAATATTGTGTTTATTAATAAAGAAACGCAAAACGGCTTTTACGACCAAATTAAAAAAGAACAAAATGCAGTAAATGACTACTTCCCATTTCCTGAATCCGTCTAAACTTGTACGCAAATAAAACAATCCGAAACCAGACGTATTACAATGCACCCTTCACGCTACCCTCAAGAAATCAGGGAGCATTCCTCCCCAACTTCCTTCAGAGATATATGATTTTAATAATCGCCAAGATTACGACAAGGAGGGCCATGGCGGATTCTTTCAAGTGTCCCTCTGAGAGGTCTGTCAGGTCTGAGAAATTGTCCCCGTAGCTATTTCATTTGCGAGGACCACTTGATATATTGGAGTGCTCGCTTTTTTCAAAATGGACGGTCTTAAGTTCGGGGGATTTCTTTTATTTGACTATTGACGATGTATATGCCTTGTTTGTTCGCTTATATTCTAAAAATTTCTGCAGAAATTTCTATTGAAAGTAACGATTACTTAGCCGTGGTCCAATGCACATCAGCGAACTGAAATGGCTATCGGTGTTTCGGTTTTATCGGTTAACGAATCTTTTTGAGCAAAGTACGTTTCCCTAATTAAAGAAACGTTTTGCATACCAATTTGTAGTGTCATTTGTTAAAAAAATGTGTGTGTGACAACTCATCTGCATTGCATTCTTAATCGAAGACAGATGTTGGTGCCATGGGCCACAGCATCCATTTACCATCACGTGGACCGTGTGCTCGTTTGTCACCTTTATTTTATAAAAAAAAATGTGGAGTTCTTTGAATTTATGTAAACGTAACTACGACAGTAAGGTAAGCAAGTGACCTTGGTTCTGTTCCCGCCCAAAACCAATTTTTTTTTTAAATTGCAACTTTAAGTATTGACCACATGTTCCGTAAACACCTTTGTGTTTGGACTCCCTTTTTCCACTCTCCAAGCCATTTGTGCCATCTAATAGACGTGCTTACACTGCTGTGCTCCAGTTTGAAAGGTATAAACGGCCACAAAAATACAGACAACCCTCAGAGGTAACCACGCACCTAGAGCCTTCTTTGTTTGAAGTTACAAGAGTCCAAGGACTGCAGCAGCCACCGTTATCAGGTGGACTGCAATTTCAATTGTTACTTCAGTTTAATAAAAAAAACATCGTCAGTATAAAATAAAATTCGAAGATATACGCCAACACGCATTGGGGCAACGTGGAGGACACTTCCTTGCCCTAAAACCCTTTCTGAAATGAAAGGAGGCTTGTGCCCAAATGGGAGGCGTATAAATAACAAATTAAATCCTACTACCTTACACAATGTCAAGTTTTGACATCTAGAACAATTGCTAGCGTTAATCTCTCATCGCACGGGTATCTTCCAAGATGGCGCCGGCAAAATGGCGGCAAAAACCGCGAGAGTGACAGGGCTTTATTAGGAGTGCAACGGGTGCACTGGTTCCTTATTAACGACACCGGGTAAGTTATTAGTCGTCGGGGTGTCTCGCCGTGTGGTTTTGATCATTTTTAATAGTGGTTAATTTACTTTGCGCAGACTTTAAAGAGTTTTTTCTTTTCAAATTATGCTAGTTAAAACAGTAGTCGTACAGACCGTGTGATGGCAGTACCCGCGTCCCGTAAAGTATATGGGTAATGACTAAAAGAGCTTAAAGCCTCCGATATCTAGAGTTATATCTATCGCCTTTGTGCCAGACGTGAAATAATCAGCAGACTGGCGACAGGCAAAAGGGCAAATAGCTTACATTTAGTACTTACTTAGATTGTTAATTCACCTACTAAGCGTGACAATTGAGGTTAATCCTAAATACAACGGAAAAGACACATATCCAGTGGTAGACGTTGAGGGGATGACGATGACAAAGAAAAAGCTTAACAATAAGATTTTAAAAAGAGAAGTTTAATATATAAACATTTTAACATACATTTCGTATTTATTAAAACGGATCGTAATGCGAAATGAAACACACCATAGCTTCTTTAAAAACTTGGTTCGCGAGCATTTACTGCAGAACTATTAGAAATACAATATTGTTCAATAGTAGTATTTATTCGTATGTATTAATTTTGTAATATTTGTACATGTACTCGTATGTATTTAGATTATGAACAATTGTTATTATATGTAAATACAATACAATACAATACAATACTCTTTATTGTACACCAACGAAACATAAATATAACAAATAATGAACAAACAATGAGCGAAAGACAAAAGGCGGTCTTATTGCTACATAGCAATCTCTTCCAGACAACCCACAAGAGGAAATTAATAAAAATAAAAATAAGATTAATGGGGAGGTTGCACTGATCAGAAAAAAATACAAATTTATATGTACTAAAATTACAATATACCTTTGCCAGATTAATGACATAACTAAGAAGAGGAAGAAATAGGAGTTAAAGAGACAAATAGTGTTCCTTAATCTGATTCTTAAACACATTTAATGATTGAGCACTTTTAATTTACTGGGGTAAGGAGTTCCAGAGTCTTACTCCAAGAACATCAAAAGATTTATCATAAAATGTCGAGTGTACGGGACATTGGAGCGAAAGATTTTCTTTGGATCTTAAGGAAAAGTCGTGACAAGAGCTAAGAAATTTAAAACGTTCTTTTAGATAGGGAGGACTTGATACATTAAATAAGAAGCAGTAGTAGTAAATATACGAAATATATATATATATATATATATATATATATATATATATATATATATATATATATATATATATATATATATATATATATATATTTACTTACAATATTATATCATAATTTCTTTTCTTACGTATTATAATGTGTACCTATTTCTTTTAGATCCTATTCTTTTTTAAATTGCTTCACCTGTGTCAAATTATAGTAGAGGATGCCTTTAGGCATTTAGTCCGCCCTTCGTATATTTTTTAAGGGATTGCAATAAAATTATTAAGTAAATTAAAGTAAATCATGAATAAAAGAAGAATCGGAAAACCGATGCACAGTTGCCCAACAGCAGCTGTTCAGCATCCCACATCAAATGAAATAGTAACATCAAGCTTTCACACACAGAAACCCACGTTATGATATAAATTACACCAAAAGCCTGCAGCGCGGCAAAGCGTTATGAAATTAGCGCCGCGATGGAGAACCAGACGGGAGGATAAATTAGTTTAGTCGGAGTTACGTCTGCGAACACTACACTGTTACTATTGTCTAACCCCAATTGCGTGTTAGTTTAAATTTGGATACAAAATTATTAAACCTATTTTTAAAACAGATTAACGGACCACGCTTGGATAATAATAGTAATAATAAGGCATAAGGCACTCCATCTTAGTCCACAGAGGCGGATACGCAACTTTTTATAATCAATAAGGGTGACAAACAAGCACAGGGTCCACTTGATAGTAAATGGATGCTGTGGCTCATAGACATCTATATCTATCCTGAATTAAGAATCAAAATGCAGATGCGTAGTCACTTCTGTAGATTAAGACGTAATACCTCGTTTCCATAAAAAAGTGTCTCCGGTTCACTATACTCACTACACGAAACGGGGCAACAATAAGCTGCTACCTACGCTGGTATTATGTGAGGACGTGGTCCTTCCTCCGTCGAGGCGACCTATTTGTGCTACAGTCATATTACAGATACAGCGTGGCTCTACCACGTACATAATCTGCATGTTGATTCGTTTATGAAGATAGATGCCTGTGAGCCTCAGCATCCACATACCACCAAATTCAGGTGTACTATATTTTCATTTGACCCTAATTTCCAAAGTATATTGACATTTGAACCCTTCATGTAGCATGGATGAAGAGTTCGTGAAGAAGAAGAGTTCTGAAAAACGTGTTTGTGATGCTTTTAAAGAAAAAGAAGAAGTAGATATGTAATGATTTTTTTAAAATTTAAGTAAAAAAGCTAACAGTCCATCTGAAGATTACCGCCTTCTATGAAAAACTGCAACCAACTTGGCAAACAAAAGGTCATAGATGGTTTATCATCTCTGAGGCCTAAAATGGAATGCCCACAGCCTGTAATTTTATCAACTATATCTCTCCATCTTCAAACTGGAACACAACAGTTGTACTGCTGGTCGGTGAAAAAGGATGGAGGAAGGAGGATGTTATCATCCCATATAGAATCTAAGGCAGCTATGTAAATGCTTAGATGATGGTTATAATTAATAAACTTCAAATTTTGTGACAACTTCATTATCCTTTCGAGAGTTGAGAGGAGGCTTGTGCACAGCCAGTGGAACGTATTTAGGCTGTAACTTAAATTTTTGCTTACTATACATATATCGTACATACAGAGCGTCATACTGTAATCCCCGAGTGGGTTGACAGATTCTATTGAGTAGCGAACTTCTCGTATCACATTTGATGTATAAAAAATGTTTTTAAATTGAAAATAGTGATAAAAGTGATAGGTTAGGTTAGGTTAGCCTATCATTGTCTACACCATCCTCAACCAATTATCACATTGGTCGTAGTATTTCCACAGAAAATCGGGTAGAAGTACCTCATGATTTTTAGTCAAAAAATATCACCGTTGCAAAATTAATTGACACTGATCCCTCGATTTATCCGATATGTCTGTATACACAAAAATAATGCAAGTTAGAATATCCACTAGCAATGTACTTAATCGCGAACAAAAACTGCGTCGACCGCAAACTGATACTGTTAACTTTCCACCCCGGTGTAGAAATCGCCGCGGGCGGTATTGAACGCGTAGCTGCATAGGGTGGTATAATTTGTCACACAAGACTCACTGGAGCTCGTACACTAGGAATGAGACGTTTATGTGTTTGCTTTTAAAATGTTTAAATTAAATTCAACGCTTTTTATTGCCATTTCGTTAAGAAAAACAATTTATAGGTTGTTACGTTGCTATAATTCTTACATTATCTGTAAGCTAAACTGCCCATAGATAATAAGATGACTTTTTCTCCTTGGTAAGATTGTTTTTTTTAAGTTCTTGCTTTGATAATCAAAAGTAAACTGGAAACATCTCATAACTTTATTACATCGAAAGAAATCTCGAAAAAGTGTTTTTTCGAAATAACTTGAAAATATTTTGTCTGATCAATTTTTTAGTAATAAATAATGTTTTGTTAAGCTCAAAAACTGCGTCGATTGCCCGAAAACCGCATCAAAACCAAAAAGCTTGAAAAAGCTCGATGAGACGATGTTTTTGAACATCGTAACAGGTGAAATTTGAAGCGGTTTGCATTTATTAGCGGGAATTGCTGGGATGGCCTGTAGAGTCAACCGTATATTTTTTTTTTAGGAGTACGTTTGGGTTCGTAGCACCCTCCTATCTATTTTTGCTTAAAAGTAGCAGTGAATTCATTGCTGCACTCTGATGGGGAAAGAAATTTAGAATAATGACATCTCATGTTAGTCCTTCAATTTTGCAAATATGTATATACATATGTACATAAATATGTCCGTGGACTATCGCAGCCCAATAAATTAAATAAATAAATAAATAAATAAAAAGTATTTATTTGCCACACAAAAATACAATGTTAAAATTTAAATAGAGAGATAATAATAACATTTTAGTTGTGACAAAACGGTCTGTGACTCAGTTGTAACGGGAAACCCATCACTCCTGCTATTCTGCCACAGCCTTTGCGCATAATTCATACAGGGTCTTAGGCAATTGATGAAACACACGTATCAACAACAAAAAAAGTAAAAATAAAAATAAAACAATTAATAAATTATACCTTCTAAATACTAAAAAAAAAGTTGTCTAATTTGAGGGGGTATCAAGGCCACATAGAGCCAGGGACTGTCTTTGAATAAGCCACTTGCGGCATCTTTGTCGGAAGGTAGACGGAAATAGGGTAGATCGGACTGGTGGTGGCAAATCGTTCCAAATTTTAGCAGCGGCAAATTTAAAACACCCCCTGGCTCCAGCGAGGCTAATCCTGGGTAGTGGAAGCCGATGACTATTTCCTCTGACTGAAAGCAAACTTTTTTTTTCAACGGCTATTTTATCATACAGATATCTTGGAGACTTTGCGTGATGCAGAGTGTGCAGAAAGCATGCATATTGTTGCGTGAATAAGTCAACTAGCGCCATCTAGTGTCAGCAACGAGAGCGAGGGGAGCTTTGCAGAAAATGACATCACAAATCTCTCCTGGCGGCGACAGGATCATCGTTCACCTCACGCTAGGGAGGTTACAGCAGTTACGGTTCGTGACCACAATAAAAGATACAGCCCTAGATGCTATGGCTGTGGGGAAAGGGGCCATCTTCGGTCCAGCTGCCCCAAGCACACCCTAGGAAGGGAAGGTGAACGATCTCAGAAGGGAAGTGCGGCTAATATCACCGCCCAGCAGCAGCCGGGATACGACTTTACTATCAGACATCGCAGCAGGAAATCTCATGGCAACGCAGATGCATCGTCAAGAAGACCTTGTCCTGAAGATTGCAACCATTGTAGTAGGCAAGAGAATAAAAAGTGGTGAGGATGCTCAGGACAGACCACCTCAGCAACGGGTGGAAGGACAGCCTACGACATGCACAGCAGGAAGATCCAGACATCAAGCCGATTCTGGGATGGATGAAGGCCCGTGCTACCAAGCCTAAGTGGAGGGACGTCTCAGCGATGAGTTCAACCACGAAAAGCTATTGGGCCCAATGGGGCAGCTTGCTGATTCAGGATGGAGTCCTGTGCCGTAAATGGGACAATGGTCGAGGAGACAGCTGTCGTTTGCAAATGGTTGTCCCTAAAGCTAAAGTGCCGAATGTTCTACAGCTGTGCCATAATGGTCGTTCAAGAGTCCATCTGGGAGTTAAACGAACTCTACTGAAGGTCCGAGAACAGTTTTACTGGGTCCATTAGCGTGACGATGTCGAGGATTGGTGTCGTACATGTGCAAGTTGTGCGGCTGTGAGGGGACCTCAGACACGGAGTAGAGGAGCATCGAAATTGTATAATGTTGGTGCACCACGAGATAGGACATCCCTTGACATTGCGGAGCCGTTACAGAAAGGCGCTAGAAGGACTCCTAAGATCGTCCATGTGGATCGCTTGGCGCGTTATTATGGGACCGATAATGCTCGGGACGAGCATGTCTTAGGAGGGGGCAGTGTTGCGTGAATAAGTCAACTAGCGCCATCTAGTGTCGGGAACGAGAGCGAGGGGAGCTTTGCAGAAAATGACATCACAAATCTCTCAACCGACAGCGCCATCCGAAGAACTAAGTTTCTAGAAAATCTACACTCGCACACTCGTCCCTTTGCGCGCATTTACTTGAATATTCCGGATGCTTCTTTGCTAATTTATATAAATAGGCGCTGCAAGATGCGATCGAGGCAGTATTGAAGTGGCGAAACAAGCGAAGCTTCGGAGCGGAATAAAGTGAATTAGTGTGTTTAATTATTAGTGTTTTAAGTTTTAATTTGTGTAAAGTAAATTAAAGTGTTAATTTAGGTAATTTTATCGGCAATTTTTATTGTCACGAACCTCAAGCTCGTAACAATATTTTAATTTAGTACTATTGCACATATTTAAAATGCCATTACTGACTAAATAAGGTGAAATCCTTTCCCTTTTCGGTATATTAAAACAAAAACGCATACATGCGTTCTGCACTCTCTGCACATTCTTCACAGTTTTTTTAAATAAGCATGGACCATAAACAATATCACATAATTCAGTTAGACTACCTACAAGCTCGTTTGTCACATTTTAATTTAAAAAAAACACCGTACTCTCGTCTATTTCTACAACCTAGCGGCTGTATACCTTGTATATCTTGCTGTAAATCGTCAGAAGTGACTGATATCGGTAGCCTTCTTTGTTTGAGTTGATTACACGTGTAGTTAGTTTATATCAGGTGGATTGTCAACTCGTTCATCATTCTTCTTTACGTTGTAGAGCCACGCTACAGCTATATTATTATAGTTGTAGAACGAATGGGTTGTCTCGACCAGTGCATGACCAGGCTCTCACAGAATACCAGCGTAAAATAACAGCCTAATGCTGCTGTGTTTCGTATGGTGAGTATAGACAACCTGAGACCCTTTTTACTGGAAACGGATCATTCCATCTTAATCCTCAGGGGTGACAACGCATTTGCATTTTGATCCTTAGTTGAGGATAAATGTGAATGTCTATGGGCCATAGCATCCACGTATCATCAGGTGGACTATGTGCTCGTTTGTCACCCAATGCTATAAAAAAATTCTTATATTATAGAATTATGTTATAAAGAATAAACAATGAACAAGTATGCAATGTGGTCAAGCATCAACACTAAATTCGTATTAAGTTTTTACAAAAAGAAATATTTACAATTATCTAATTGTAAAAATTTCTTTTTTATTTCAAAATTACACAATGTGTCGAGTTCAACGAAAACTTTAACAGGTTAATATTATGCAATCACTTGTCAAATTAAATTGGTTTGAAGTGCATCTTATCATCATCAGATAAAGTAAATTATCTTACAAAGATATAACCGTACTACCCGTTTGCATTTACAATAAATTGCACACACGCATGTACACACACGCACAACGTGTAGATTATACGATTATTGAAAATATTAATTGGTCATTAGAAAAAGTTAAAAGAAAGGAAATAAAAAGAAGTTTGATACGTGTTTAAATTATAATGATATTAGTGTATTAAATATTAAAACTAATATTAACACTAACGCTAAGTTAAAAAAATGTTATTCATGGAACATGGAACTAAATAAATTAAACATTTCGTGGTTTACCGGAAGTTAATGGAAGCGGAGCTACGGTGCAACCGGATCCTTTCCGGGTCGTGGTCTGAGCCGATGCAATTGTCATGCAAATGTCTGAATTAATCGCACCCGGTTAACCGGAGACGTGGAACTTTTACCATCCGAATTATTTG